GCGCACCCCGCGGCGCACACTCAGCGGGTCCCCGCGCCCGCTGCTCCCTAGGCCCGCGCAGATCGCCAGCAGGGAGAGCGGCTAGCTCACCCCCCCTCCCCCGTTTCCTCGCCGTTCTCGTTCGAGTGGTTGTACTCCTTGACATCAACAACGACTTGGAGACCCAGTGTTTATTGTATTCTCCGTGGGCCCGAGAGTTGAGTACTGCTTACGTTGAAGTCTGGAAAGTTCTTTTCAAGAACAGTACGTTTTTAAAGCTTCACCAGGGGATTTTGCGCCTCCTTGGCTACAGGCCTGGTGCAGTCTTGAAGTGCCAGGCCAGAAGGACAGATCGTTACCAACTAACCGCTGTTCTCTTGGGAATCGCCATCACGGCCTGCACCCCTATGCTTGCTTAAGTCGAGGCAAGTTTAAAGCTCCAGGCTAACCCATGTGAGGGCTGCGTCATTGTTTCACGTTCATTCCACACTGTCACATCTCCATCAACGCCCTGCCCCCAACGGCGCACAGCTGGGGGTTCCACTGAGGCACCTTAAGCACCCCCAACTGTCACCAGCTATCTTGGTGAGGCTTGTGATAGAAATGATGGACATTTCCTCCTCAATCTGTCAAGTGTCCTGCCAACAATCTCAAAACCTCATTTTCTGAGAATATTGACTCTTCAAGCCTCACCTGTTCAGACATTTAAGTTGTTTCCATTTTCCGTTGACCGGACACCACTGCTGTGTCACCTCTTTCGTGTCCCATTTTCGTTCTGCTTGTCATATATTCAGGATTTATAATCGCTGGCTCAAAGTGCAACTCATAATGCCACCAGCAACCGTTAGATGTCACTCTTAGCAGTGGCGAGATTGTAAACTATTTTTTTAAAAGATTTATTTATTTATGCATACAGAACTGGGGTACAGGCCAGAGGAGTGGTGGGTGAGAGAATTCACAAGAGACAGAGTGGGGAGCAGAACAGGCAGAACAATAAAGTACACTGCTGAGGGGAGCAGAGGGGAACAGCGGGCGGGGTCAGGAGAGGTCTT